ATAACATAACAAAGGGTTGTAGCAGAAAGAAACAAAGAATAGTATATTTGTAAAGCGCTTAGAGACATTAATGTATTAAGCGCTATATAAAAATTAAATATTATTATTATTATTATTATTATTATTATTAATAACATAAGGAAAGGTCATAGAAGAAAGAAACATTGAATAACATGAGGAAAGGTTATACAAAAAAAAAAGAATAACTTAAGAAAACGTTATAGAAGCAAGAAAGAAATAATAACATAAGGAAAGGTTATAGAAGGAAGAAATATAGAATAACATATGAAAAGGTTATAGAAGGAAGTAAACAAAACAAAAAGTATAACGTAAGAAATAGTTATAAAAGGAAGAATGAGAGAATAACATAAGGAAAGGTTATATAAGGAAGTAAAACAGGGTAACATAAGAACAAGTTATAGAAGGAAGATACAAAAGATGACATAAGGAAAGGTTATTTGAAGGAAGAAACAAAGAATAACATAAGGAAAGACGGACAGAGAAAATGATAGAATAATAAAAACAAAGAACATAAGAAAAAGGTTATAGAAGGGAGAAACAAAGGATAGCGTAAAGAAAGAAAGAGAAAATAATAGAAGAATATAAACAAAGAATAACATAGGAGAAAGGTTATAGAAGGGAGAAACAAAGGATGGCGTAAAGAAAGAAAGGAAGAGAACATAAAAAGAATAACATAAGAGAGAGGTTATCACTGTGAAAAAGTTGGGCAATATTTTTTCAACACTTTGCCCAACGTTGTGCCAATAGTCAACCCAACCATCTATTGGGCAATATTTTGCCCAGTGGTATTGGTAAACGTAGGTACCCTACTTCACACGTGCATAATTGTATCATATTTTGACCAAATTTGGGCAAAGATATGACCCTTCAACTGCCCGACTATACGGTAGCCCACTTGTTGGGAAAATCTTGACCAACTGTTGGGCAAAATACGAAAATATTGCCCAATAAATGGTTGGGTTGACTATTGGCAAAGTGTTGGAAAATATTGCCCAACCTTTTCACAGTGATATAGAAGGGAGAAACAAAGGATGGCGTAAAGAAAGAAAGGAAGAGAAAATAAAAGAATAATAAAAACAAAGAATAACATAAGAGAAAGGTTATAGAAGGGAGAAACAAAGGATGGCGTAAAGAAAGAAAGGAAGAGAAAATAAAAGAATAATATAAACAAAGAATAACATAAGAGAAAGGTTATAGAAGGGAGAAACAAAGGATAGCGTAAAGAAAGAAAGGAAGAGAAAATAAAAGAATAATAAAAACAAAGAATAACATAAGAGAGAGGTTATAGAAGAGAAAAACAAAGAATAACATAAGGAAATGTAGAAAGAAAATGATAGAATGATAAAAACACAGAAATTACATAAGAAAATGTGATAAGGAACAAACAAAGAACAGAATATGATGTCACATGCAAGATGAATGAGAGCAGGAGCATTTTTTTAGGATGGAGCTGAGAAAACTATTCAAACAAATATGTACAAATTTATGAAATATATTTAGATGTTTGAATAACAAAATTTGAGTTGTATGCAGCCCTGCACATCAAGAGGAATCAACTTGTATATGGAATTCACCCGACCTTTTAGCAGATGAACTCGGGAAGTATGAGATTGAAATAAACGTCAATCACTAAATCATCTGCCCGCCGACGAGCCCTCAATAAGAACCGAAAATTGATAGCACAACGGCTATAAAAACGGGGGAGTGTTCGGCTTGAATTGTCAATATTCATTGGATGATTGATTGGACATTTGCCCTCGATATTGTGTTCTATTATTTTTAAAAGGCGCAGTGCAATGCAACTTAAAAGTTAGATTTCAAAAAAAGTTCCAATGTTTTTATTCATATCCATGTGTTTTTAATATATTATACATGACTGAATCATTTGTATAATTTTGATTTAGGTCCTATGGAGTTTCATAATCATGTAGGCAATATCAAAATATGTGTTAATGATATCAAGTCTCAGGTTCACATAACATTTTTCCTCTTAAAGGTATAGACCAGTTTTGGAAACGCCCCCTCTCAAAAATTAAATGGAAGCTCTTATTACCAATCCTGTGAAAGAATATGTTTTGACGAATACGTGATAATACAAATTTTGCCGGGAAACCACCTACTAATTTAAAGAAAAGGGTCCTTAATTGCGTAGGACAACGTCAAATTTTATGAATGTGGCTTTTGATTATGAACAGTGGAATTCAATGAAGTTATATTTATTTGCAAGTGAGCGAGCAACAAATTTGGCCACATTTCTTTGACAACATTTCTAGACAGTCAGGCGTACTATTGGTAAAGAATGACATCTATGAATGACATACAGTGTACTTCTTTAAAAAGGGAACATAACTTTCTCCAGCATCATCTCTGCACATAAACATAGCTACAAAATTATATTGTAATACACCATAACAAATGAAAGTTTTATCCCCTTTCATACCACACCATCATCCATGATGACAGATTCTGGGAACCGGGCTGTGATCATTTAACTGAAATGATTTTAAAGCAACAATGTAAAAAGTACTTTGCGCACGAGAGTGGAATCTATAGGGGATTTCGCATCCTACTGAAAAAAGTGAGATTTAAAAATCGCTTTTGCATCGCGATAAAAAAATCGGTGTTTTTTTTGTCTGCGTGTGGGGCCGGGGTGTGGGGACAGAATAATGTCACTAATCTCCGCGATTCGTATCGCGAACCAATTCGCAGCAAGTCTTGCTATTTTTCAGAATAATCGCGATAGTTAACCAGGCGCTGTGTGTTTGAATGGTGCTTGATTTATTTAATCCCAGGATTCCAAGTGCGCATGCATACATCGTCGAGATTTACGCATGTTGCAGTTTGGATGCGTTCTTGTCGTCGAGCGAGAATTATCCGTGTGTGATGGTCGTCAACAAAATCAACCTTTGCATCGCGAGACAATTCTCACTAAAATATTCTTTCTCAATATACAACTTCTAGACCCTCCTCTCTTCTCTACCCTTGATTTTCTTTTTCTTCTTTTCTCTCTTCTTCTTTTCTTTTTGTTTGTTTGTTCGTTCTAATATATGTTGGTGTGTGTTTTGTATACTGTTGTACTTGTTATGTGTTTAAGTGTTGTGGGGCGGGGTAGTAGGTGTTCTCTACACTATGAACATGACAGACAAAGAAAGTGGACAAAATATACAGTTCCTCAGGTAAACAAAAGAACATCCCTTCACTGCTATTATGTAAAAAGGTGAATATGCATGTGACACCTGTTCTACACATTTTTACATAATAGCAGTGAAGAGATGTTCTTTTGTCTACCTGAGGAACTGTATATTTTGTCCGCTTTCTTTGTCAGTCATGTTCATAGTGCTAGCTCCTTCTCTTTTTATCATTTATCTTCTTTCTTTTTTTTATCATAACCTTTCTTTTTTTCTCTGAAGGAAATTCAAGAGGGGAAAAAAATATTGTGGAAAAGAAAAGAAATAATTTATACGCAAACTGGTCGAGAAAATAGTACAAACTTTATTTGCGATTTGTTTAAAATGGGAAAATATAATTTTGTTTATGTCAATATTTTTCATCTGTAAATGTGTAACTTTATTTGTAACCTTGTATGGAAATTTAAAAGTTCACTTGCAAATTTTTGTAGACCTATGTGAAGATTATTTTGTTATTTTGTATACAATGTTATAAATTATGTACAATTTTCTTTATGAGAGAAGAGAATAAAAACCTATGAAAACAAAAAATTGACATGTGTGCAAAAAAAAAATCGATCCAAATCGCGATCCAAGTCGCATAAATTGTTTTGTGTGAACGGCCTAATTCATGCAGCAACGCAGTGAAAGACAATTCATTGAATCTCACCCCGCTTTCATATTCTTCTGGTCTTTTAATCCCTTTGTCGTGTGCTTTGAGGCTAATAATGGCCTCGTATCTCATTCAAGGTTGCATAAAATATAATATATTTTATTATGACGATTAATAAAGAAACAATGTAAGATCAATTATCATGGTTCTGTGTCTTTATATTTTGTTTTCTTTCTTTGCGTTGTATTCAAATGGAATTACATGGAATTACACTACACATCACTTCTGTGAGCAAACTACTTCATCACTGGCTAAAAAACCTTATAAATTCATTCATACGCAGCAATATCATAACATTATAAGTATCATACGAAAGAGAATGAATTGAACTTTAACATGAATAGTAGGACTTTATCAGGACATAACAAATTTCCTAGTAACAGATGGAAAAATTTAGGTTTCATTTCCTTGTTTCGGTAAGGTCGACATATTCCATATATCTCATTATTAGCACATATTTTTACATTTAATGTTAGTTAGTCATGAGTCACAGGCAAGAATTCTTCTGATTCAATAAAATATAATTTATTTTGATACAACAAAGACATTGTTTCCTAATTTCTAAGCTTCAAACGAAAAGAATATAAAACCTGCTCTACAATTCAAACAGAAATAGCCTCATAACTGTACAAAACGATGAAAGGAATTTAAATTTCTAGTATTTTCTAATTTCCAAGTAGTCTTTATTACACAAGAAAATTCATGTAGAATTTCGGCATGGGGTCTATAGGTATGAAACTCCATGATGTACAAGGAAACCCTATTAGAACGAGTATAGCATGCAATAGCAACTGTTTCATCATAAATTGCATTAAAATAATGTTTTACAAAGTGAACCATACATCCTTTTTTTTTCCGGGCATTAAGACCCCTTTTCAATTGGCTTCTTGTTGTTATTTTGTTAATGAAATTCAAATCTAATCTAATCATAATGAAATGTTACGAGATACTTCTCTTTCAACAAGATATATCTGTTTGCAGAATACAAACGTACACGTTCTACATTTATGTCAAAGACTGATGACAACTACAAAATATTTCATACTTGTCAGATTTTTACCTCTGACATTTTTACCGTGCACTTTAAAATCAAGGCCAATAGAATGATGTAAAATGAAAACACTGATTCAAACACTAAATAAAGGCACTTAAAATTGTCTGATTTTATTGCGACGTAGGATATACAATTATTTCGGCCAAGTATTACAACCAGAGAAAAATGAATACCCCGTAAATGTCCGTGTATGAGACGCACTTTTTTGTTTAAAGTTTCGATTTATGTCCCTCCACCTGGCGCTATGCCTGGCAATGTCTCCCAGCTCAGTAATCGATGTGTTGACTCACCACTCGGAAACTAGAACAACACTCAAATTTGTCTGTCATCTTGGTTAGAAAGTAATCTTTCAAATAGTTCTCAATATGTAGTTTATAATAATAATTTATCCAATTTTTCTTCTATTACACACGGCGTACCACAAGGTTCTATACTAGGTCCTCTACTGTTTTTAATTTACATTATTGATCTTACACATTCTTTTAAAAACGACATTGTTCCTATTATTTGTGACAGGTTCACAAGCACAAATCGGCGCCTTAAACTGCACCTTGCAGTTAAATGCAAGTCCTTCCCCGCGTGGGTTTTTTAACACGAACCTGGCTTGCTGCAGACAAAGTGGGCAAATTTTTTTTTTTTTTTAAATCCTCTGCCCCAAATATAGGGGTGCGTCTTATACACAGGTGCGTCTTATACACGGAGATTTACAGTACTTGGGTTTTTTAATTAAAATCTGGCCTACCTGTGCCATCTTTGATGGTGAATAATTCTTTTACGAGACATTAATATACATTTGCCTCACTCGACCCAGGTGAGGTAAACGGGTATCTGGCATGGAATTAATTCCTTGAAATGCTAGAGCACCAATATTGCTAATGCCGTGGAGCGCCAGGAGTGTCAAGTCTAAAAGACATGTCTTGAGCACTATCCAAGAACCCACTATTATTATTGCTCGACTGATATGGCTTTTCTACAGTATGGATATTTATAGGTCATATTAGACTACTCTTTCAAATGAACAATTTTCTTCAAACAGAATACTAAAATTGATTTAATACAGAATGAGTTTTCATATGATACTTTAAACTAGACTTCCAAGTGAATTGTTTGCTACAAATTGAACAAAGATATGTCTTTTCTCCTGTATGGGTTCTCATATGCATATCTAGCACACTCTTCCTTGATAAACCTTTGTTACAAACAGAACAATGGAAGGGCTTTTCTCCACTATGGGTCCTCATGTGTCTTGTTAGATTTTGCTTGGTTGAGAATATTCTGTTACAAACAGAGCACTCATAGTTAGTATTTCCTCCTCTGTCTTGTGTCTTATCACAGAATTTCAGGTGGTATGTTAGACTTTTCTTCCAAAAACACTGTTTGCTACAAAAAGAACACTGAAACGGCTTTATCTCCGAATGGCTTTTCATATGATCTGACAGTTGACTTTCAAGCAAGAACTTCTTATTACAATGAGAACACTGGAATAGCTTTTCTCCCGTATGGGATTTCAAATGCATATCTAGGTAACCTTTTCTTGAGAACCTTTTGTTACAATCAGAACACTGGAAAGGCTTTTCTCCAATATGGGTCTTCATGTGTATTCTCAGCTCATTCTTGCATGAGAACATTCCGTTACAATTAGAACACTGATATGACTTTTCCTTCGTATGGGTTTTTATATGATACTTTAGACTAGTCTTCCATATGAATTGTCTGCTACAAACAGAACACTGGAAGGGCTTTTCTCCACTATGGGTCCTCATGTGTCTTGATAGATCACTCTTAAATGAGAACCTTTTGTTACAATCAGCCTCAGGACAATGAATCTCTTTTCTATCATGGGTTTTCATGTGGTTTGTTAGCCTAGTCTCCGAAGTGAATCGTTTGCTACAAACTGAACAAAGATATGGCTTTTTTATTGTATTTTCTCCCGCATGGCTTTTCATATGCCTGTTTAGGTCACCCTTTCTTGAGAACCATTTGCTACAATGAGAACACTGGAAAGGTTTTTCTCTACTATGGGTCAACATGTGTCTTGATAGCTCACTCTTGAATGAGAACCTTTTGTTACAATCAGGACAATGAAACCTTTTTCCACCATGGGTTTTCATATGGTTTGTTAGCCTAGTCTCCGAAATGAATCGTCTGCTACATACTGAACAAAGATATGGCTTTTCTCCTGTATGGGTTCTCATATGCATATCTAGGTAACCCTTTCGTGAGAACCTTCTGTTACAATCAGAACACTGGAAAGGCTCTTCTCCAATATGGGTCCTCATGTGTCTTCTTAGCTCACTCTTGCATGAGAACTTGCTGTTACAAACAGAACACTGAGATGACTGATATGACTTTTCCTTCGTATGGGTTTTCATATGCTTGGTGAGAGAAGACTTGCTTAGACACACTTTTCCACACTCGGAGCATGGACTTGGATTATCTACATCATGGATTACAATGTGGCGTGCTAGACTTCTCCTCCACATGAACTGTTGACTACAAACAGAACAATGATATGCTTTTACTCCTGTATGGGATCTGATATGAGATAACAGATAACTTTTTAGCATGAATTTCTTATCACAATGAGAACACTGGAATGGCTTTTCTCTTGTATGGGTTTCCATATGCATGTTTAGGTAGTCCTCAGTAGAGAACCTTTTGTTACAATCAGAACAATGAAACAGCTTTTCTCCACAACGGGTTTTCATATGATACTTTAGACTGGTCTTCCATATGAATTGTCTGCTACAAACTGAACAAAGATATGTCTTTTCTCCTGTATGGGTTCTCATATGCATATCTAGCATACTCTTACTTGATAAACCTTTGTTACAAACAGAACACCGGAAGGGCTTTTCTCCACTATGGGTCAACATGTGTCTTTTTAGATTTTGCTTGACAGAGAATATTTTGTTACAAACAGAGCAGTCATAGTTAGTATTTCCTCCTATGTGTTGTGTTTTATCACAAAATTTCAGGTGGTATGTTAGACTTTTCTGCCCTAAAAACTGTTTGCTACAAATAGAACACTGGAATGGCTTTATCCCTGAATGGCTTTTCAAATGAGATAACAGATAACTTTTCAGCGAGAACTTCATATTACAATGAGAGCAGTGGAATGGGTTTTCTCCTTTATGGGATTGCTTATGTCTGTGGAGGCCAAACTTCGTTGTGAACCTATTGTTACAATGAGAACACTGAAATTTCTGGAAATAGTTTTCTCCACCATGGGTCCTACTGTGTTTTTTTAACCCACTCTTGAATATGAACTTTTTGTTACAAACAGAACACTGGAAAGGCTTTTCTCCACTATGGCTCATGCTGTGTGTTGTTAGCTTACTCTTGAATAAGAATTTTTTGTTACAAACAGAACACTGATGCCGCTTTTCTCTTCTGTTAGATACCATGTCTATTGCGCTGTCAGTGTTTGCAACTCTTTCATCACCATCAGAACACTGCTTTTCCGGTAGGCTTTCTCTTTGTTTGTTCATCCCTTCATGCTCAGGCCTATAGGAACATGAAGCACCCACTCTGTCCACTGCTGTTGGAGGCTGTTTTAGCAAATCGCTTTCTTGAACTGAAACATCATTTGAACTAGATTTATTAATCATGCTCCTGAAGTCTCTTTGAGATGAATCACAATTGGTCATTGCTTCAGCATTTGGCAGAACAGTTGAGCTGCCTTTTCTTGAGACCTCACCCTGTGTTTCTGGCTTCATACATCTCCTTTCGTCCAATTCTTCACCATGTCCTGACAGCTGCTGATTTGATCTTGTGGGGTTTCCAGCTGAGAAAAAAAAGGAATTTATGTATTATTTATTTGGAAATTTGCAAATAATTGTATAACTGAATGATAAGGCCAGAAGGGGATATACATGTACCCTTGCCCATTTAGAGTGGGGAAAGTGAAACAGAAGGATATATATGTATACACCTTACATTCTTCCTCTATCTCTTTCCCCGTAACTTTCACCCATATCGGATTACCCAAAAACAGCTTCTGATAATTGTTTAATACGATTGTATTCAAGACTTGTGATGTCCTCCTCTCATTAATGATTTACATAATATTATAATCTTTGAAGAGTTCAAAGGATTGAATCGGTTGACTGGAAATAGAAAGGAAATGGGTTTTAAAATATTTTCATAGATGCTAACGGCTTTCTATAATTTTTAAGTCCAACTTAGAGATAAGTTCAACTTAGTATCTTTGTGAAACACCCCCCAGAACAGTAATTGAATGCAGTGACCAGTCTTACAAAGAGTTGTGATTGATCCAAATCAATCGCAAATCCTCCAATCAATCGCAAGTTTGCAGTTTCGTATCTCTTATGTACATAGTTGCGATTGATATCAATTGCAAATAGGTTGCGATTGAGATCAACTCTTTGTAAGACGGGTCCAGAGTGATAATAATGATACTGTCAGCGCTTTGGTCAGTAAAAGGAAAAGCGCTACATAAGAAGCTGGTATTATAATCCTTATTATCATTTATGAAGATCAAAAGATTTTACCTTGAGGCTCTGCCACGTTACTTGTCTTGATCTCCTCTTCCCTATCCTCTCCTGAAATTTCTTGACTAAAACTTCCATCCCGACAGCTAAACTGCAGGTTGAGGATATCATCTGTTGAATAATAGTAAGCCAGAATCAGTATTTTGATTTGAATAGAAATGTCAAACAATTTTAACTCATGACAAAATTCCATAATGTAGTTTTACATAAAATAGTAGAGTAAATGCATCAAAACAGTTTGGAATTAAAGACCCATGAGAATGACGACAATTTTCATGTCGGCATTCTTTTAGATATTTTTCATTTCAAGCAAAATCTTGATACAAATCATTATCACATGATTATTTGATAAATACATGTTAAAATTGTGAGTTATACAATATCTTTTTTAAATAATTTTGTGTATAGAAATAAGATCAGGGTCTTCTTTCGATAGGAAATGAGTAAATGGCATTTAACCGTTGTCCGAATTCTTTACTTGAGATATTATCTTTCAGGGGGTTGTTTCACAAAGATTTTAAGTCGAACTTAACTCTCAGTTGGACTTAAAAATTATGGAGAGCCATTTGTAGCCTTTAATTAAAATATATTCAAAAGCGAAACCTCAACTATTTTAGACTTTTTATAAATTCCACATCAAGAACATGAAATCTCCTTGTTGATAGAAAATATGAATGATTCTGAATCAACCTTTTATGCCTTTCAAAATAACTTTTACAAAATATTTTCATAGATGCTGACGGCTTTCCATAATTGTTAAGTCCAACTTAGAGATTAATTCAACTAAGGATCTTTGTGAAACACCCCCAGAATAGTTATGAGCCTTGTGCAAATACCGTGTATTCTTGATGGGTCTCTGGTCACCTCACCTTCCTCATCTTCTGTATCCTCTATCTTCAAGAAAAAGACCTGGAATCCTGTCAGGGGCTCTTCAAGAACCTTGATTTCACTCATCTTGGCTTCCCGTCTCCAACCCTTCTTTATCCTGGATGAAAACAGACACATCACAAAACACCAAGCATTGAAAGGCTGCTGGTTTATTTTTACTTAGTTTGCAGATAATGCAAGTATGTGATATTGAGGGGAATAATTTCTTCGAAAGATTTCCTTTTGTTGACAGCCACCTCTAGCCAACATTCTCTCTTCTCTCCTACCATTCCTCCTTGAATCTATTCATATTCTTGGCATGCTGTCCATCCAAGCAAACACTCTTACATTGATGATTGCACATCACACAAACTAAAAAAACCTGTGGTCTCTGGGTGGATTTGAAGTTTGGACGTCTGATCCTTTGGTCTGCAGTCCAGCAAGCTACCAATGTATCTGCGAGTTGAGCTTGAGCGGCGATATAAGCTACGATACTTCAGACTATATCTCCTGTGTCCTAGATGGCGCTATTCACTAGTCATCTAACCCTAATTTATCATTTTTTATATTATTAGATATATCATTCTAAGCTGTACCCATATTATTTCTTTTCAATTTAGGTGGCTGTCGCAAAAGGAAATCTTTCCAATTTCTGTAGAAATACAATCATTTCCAGGAAATATTCATCGGATTTTAGAATTCTTGTTCAAATTTTTAGTATATCATCTGCAGTGTAAACTCTTGTGCACGAACTTTGGACTTGTTCCTTCATTTCTTTACCTATTTCAATTAGTTTAGTATATTAATAGGCGCATGCACTGATTTCCCTGAATTTAGCTATTTACTCCCGGCTCCCTGCCATGCATTTTTACAATTTATCAATTGCTATTAAGTATCATTATTAAGTATCAAAAGTCGTTGGCGAAGCTGTTCACGATGATCAATTGCATACGGTATTGACAGTGGGGTGCGATGTGCGGGCGCGCGTGTGTTTAATAGCTAGCGACTGTTATCACAGATCCTCATAAAATTTATGTTAGTAATTCACATTATGATGATGATGATCATCATGGTCGTTAACTTCACGCACGCCTGCACCCCACCGTCGGTACGTGTAGTAAGCATTGCATTGACTTATATGCTCTGCTGGAGTGTTTTAATAGCAGCGGCCGGTTTGCCGTGAACCAGTGAGAAAATTATATTATAATTTATATTTGGACTATAAAATTAAAAAATAATGTTTTCCTTTTTAGGAAAAATATTCCAAAAGAGATAAGAAAAAATAAAATGGAACAGGAAAAAGAAACATCAACATTTTAAAATCATAACCATTATTTGAACAATTGATGAAGATTTAATTGATTTTTGGCATGTTTCAGCATGGACCTAAAAGTACTAGGTCCATGGTTTTAGTCACTCCATCCAGCGAAGCATAGAGAGTCAATGCTAATGCGTTTTGACCTTTAGCACTGCATACTTGCTGTGAGGCAGGTATTATACACAAATATACACACCACACAATATTGCATAGACTGCACACAATAGGACCAATTGGGCTGATCGAAAAATTTGACACTAGACTTATAATTTGAATTTTTAAATTACTCTTTTTAACATCAGTAGTGTTGAAAAAATGTATTTTACTGCTATTTAGGTTTCATCAATTGTCACTAAAGTACCGATTTTGAGTAAAATCAGTTGAGTTTTGTACAGTGGTGTTTAAAATGTTGAGAGTCAAAACCACAGCTTTTACTACACAGCCAGGATAGTAATGCACCTATGCATGTGTGGGTTTTAGTAGGGTATCGCCACGCTGCAGCGTGGCGATACCCTACCAGCGCGCTGGAGTTACGGCTCAATAGTTGGATTCTGAACTAGCAGCTTCAGCTGTGTCAGCGATCGACTCTGACAACAGGCGACGGATTCATCAAACGACATTTAAAAAAGTCAGAAACACAGATTGATAAAGTCTCACCGTATTCAGGAAAGATAACCCTTTAGTGATCCTGAGCTTTCACGACCAAATACAGAAAAGAAGGTCCAAGGACAAGGTTTTATAAATCAACGTCGTTAATTTGCTAATTGTTGTCCTGTTGTATGGGATGCCAAAAGGCTATAGCTGCTATATATAGGGACGTACCGTACCCTGCCCGGTTTCCGCCCGATGGGCAGTTTTTCTCAGATAACTTCTCTGAAAATGAATTATACAGGCGCTAATGTATACCAATTTGTTGCCGAAATTCTAGCAAATCTAGCTATGCCATTTTTACGCCCGAAATCATAAGCGATTGTCCGTAGCGCGCCGTCTGCGTGAGGCATTTTCCTTGCCTAATTCCGCCTAGACCCGCCCTAATTCCGCCCGATGGTGGGCGCGCATCAAAAGTATAGAAAAAGGAAACATCTCGGGTACACGTTAGGCCTTGAAATCAAATTGCTTCCCAGTAGAATTCGATCTACATGTTATTTTGATAATTGATATTTCTTTCTTTATTTCTTCCCTTGCCTCTGTAGGCCTAATGCAAGTGCACTGTTATTTATCAGTTTCTGATCTGGAAAAACAATTTTTTACTGCCTTTGGAAAATCCTGCGACTTGTCTATGATGTTTTAATAATGTGTTCAGTCAAATCTTCAGTGTTCTATCGCTAATCGGGAGAGGGGAAGAAAAAAAAATCCACAATAACAACATTTTGTCAAAAAAAACTACCACTATTAAAGTAAACACTTTGGAAAGAGAGTAATGGCACTTCATTTTTTTTTTTTTTTTTTTAAACTGCAAATTATTCTCGACATCTCTCAAATCTTGATTAAAAAATAAATTAGCGTATATTTTTAGGATATTGGTTGGAAAAGCATAGCATTTTCGTCATAGGAATTATCATCATCGCCGACATCGTCTTAATCATCATCATTACAATTTTAGGGTAGGCCTATGTGACGCAAATGTGGTTTCCTGTTTGATTATTTGTTCAAGACTTCAAGTTGTTGTGTTTTTTGTTTTCTAGTTGTTCTAAATTATGCAGTATTTTATGCATTCAATAATAATAGTTCAACTTGAAAGATAAAACTTTCCGAAATGATCTTAAAAACGAAGTCGTCGATTCACTTCCATGGGGGGGGGGGGGGGGGGGGGGGGGGGGGTAGTGAGCACATTTTTTTTTTTGATCCTCAACAAAATTTCAATTTGCACCCCCCCCCCCCCTTGAGCGCCGGGGGGGGGGGGGGGCCCAACCCCCTAAAAAGGTAAAAATCACGTGATTTTACATGATTTTTTTCTCAAGGGGGGGGGGGCCGGGCCCCCGGGATCCGCCACTGCCCCCACCCCCCCCCCCACATTTTCTACATAATGCTACATGTTAAATTCATCCATTCATCTATTTATTTATTCAATATTCATTCTTTTTATTGCCGAGAGATATTTATGTTATGGATAGAGATGAAAAATGTTCACCTTTTATTCGCCATAAAACTTTCGCAAAACTAACAACGTAAGAATCACCTTAGCAATTTGAAAGGCCTGATAGGCGTATGCCCTTAATGTATTATTTATACTACTCTTTCGATAGCCATTCATATAGGTTTATTTCACATGAAACAACAGACTGGGATTTTAGTTTCTACCCCTATATTTATTTTATTCACAGTCAACTGAGGGAAATTTATGGCAGCGAAAATGTCATGATTCATGTTGGTCATGTTGGTAAAATTAGATAACACACAAACAATTGAAAAATAATTATAGCCTAAAGCATAGAAGTATTAAGAAAGAAGGATATAAAATTGAAGAGGGAGACTAAAAGAAAAATGGGGAAAAGGAGGGGTGTAATCGAAGAAACATCCTGTATCGTATTATAAACAAGCACTCTTTTCGCTACAAAGCCACGACGCTGGATTAAAAGGCGACACAACATGAATACAAACTTTTTGCAAATCTATACCAACCCTGGCAACTTTTTTAAAAGCCGGACCTATTTTTTGTCATTGGGATCACTGTCGGAGAACCGAACTTCAAGCATTTCTTAATATCAATCATATCTAATTTTGTCACAAAATTTAACTTCATGACTAGTAGGCCTACATTAAATTACAAATCAATAGACCACATCGTTACCCGAAATTGTCGGTTGCTCGAACGAACGGCCAAACATCATTGCAACATTCTTCGGGGGGAGGGGGGGGGGGGGGGGCTTCAATCCCGGCCTCCCACCTTATTCGCCTATCATAATAAGGACAATTACACCCCAGAAAACTACTCCCAAGGATAATTACCCAAATGACAATTACCCTCGACGACTCAAACTACGCCCAGAAAATTACCCCCGATGACGATTACCCCCATCTCTGAAACTTAACCCCTATATAGGACATTGACCCCCCCCCCCCCCCCCGGGACAACCAAGAACAATACCCCCTGTTCATTAAAGGGGAAGTCAACCCCGATAATAAGTTGGGTAATTTTTAGGGGGAGATCATTTTCAGGGTCGGGGGGGGGGGGGGTAAAATTATTATCTATCCCAACATCGTATAAACGATGTTCACAAAGGGAAAATTTTCTATAAACATGTTTAAAATGTGTTGAGTTAAAAACGTTTATACTAATCATCTCTAGATACGATGAATTTTAGCTGTGTGTGAAAAGGCTGCATGTTATTGCAATGACGACCTTCGTCATTGCCTTGTTTTCGTTCACATTCTGCCCCATAAATATTCTTCTTATCTTCGTCAGAAAATCGCATTCGTTTTGCACGTAGTGCTTGTTATTCCTAGTTAGGTGCTTTTCTCATGTCCATTTCCTTTCAAATTTCGTATGGTCAAGGGTGAGTTTATGTTACCCCTGGGGGCAATATGTCTTTCTACACAGCCATTCTCAATGTTTTCAAAGTAGTAGGCGTCATGATTCTCAGTATCATTATATGGCTGTATTCCTCTTTTGTTATGTACATAACAAAAGAGGAATACACCCTTGACCATTTTATTATTGTTTTGGTTTCGGCCAGGAATACAGACTGGTCAAATGGCCTAATCCATCAAAGTTATGAGTCATGTTTCGGGCTATACTGTAGGACTGGTAGGATTTCCCTGAATTCAAGTTCGGGGGGAACATGAAAGGAAGTGGACCTGTTGACCAATGGGAATTTAATATTGTATGACCCTTCCCACTTTCTCAAACTGTTGCCCACTGGCGTACCTATGGGGGGCAGGGGGCAGAGTGCCCCCCCCCCCCCCCTGACGGGCTCCAGGGGGGAAAAAAGAAAAAGAGGAAAGAAAAGAAAAGAAAGGAAAGGAAAGAAAAGAAAAAAGGAAAAGGGAAGAAAAAAGGAAAGAAAGAGAAAAAAGGAAAAAAAGGAAAGAAAAAAGGAAGAAGAAGAGAAAAGAAAGAAAAAGGGAAAAGAAAAGGAAACGAATAAAAATGGGGAAATTTTTAAAAAAAGACCATGGTCGTACGCACCAGGGGGGGGGGGGCAGTTGACCCCAGATATTTTGAAAACGTACAGTTTTTTTCCTGAAAATGTAGTGTAGGCCTATACCAAATCCTTCAATTCTACTTTTGAAAATGCAAAAGTACCCTCTTGACCAGTTCGGTCGCTCGAACTCCCTTCACTCCTTTTGCTTTTGAGATTCTTCGAAAACTTTTAACGCATCTTTCCCCCTCCCCCACCAGAAAAATATTCCGCATACGGCCCTGAAAAATTAAAACAAATGAAAATAGGAAAATATAAGTGATATAACAAATTCGAAACTCTTCGCTGGCGCGAACTGCTTGCTAGCCTATTTTGTATTAAATGTTTTCACTTGCTCGTCCCCCTGAAAAAAGAAAAGGATTAGTATTGCCTAGAATACAATTGTGCCTGCCCCGACCTGCAACCATGGCAACAATAACACACAATACAGTGCGTCCCAGAAAAAGCGAAACCGAGAAGTATCGATGTTTTATCATAACTTAATCACAACCATAATGAATGAATGATACATATTTGGAAAGCTTAGAGTCTCCTCTTTCAGTTGATGCTACTCCGATGATGCATATTTCACGCATGAGTGATTAAAAGCAATTTGAAGGAAGGAAACCAAAAAGACATTTGGCGGGCGGTATCTGAATTTCGAAGAAAAATTCACATTTCTAGAAAGTTGAGTTTCTGCCCTTTCATATGACACCTCAATCAGGAAAAATGAGCGAGGAATAACAAAGTTCTGTTTGTTTAAAGTAGCCCTTACATGTTCATAATTTTAACAAACGAATTCGTTTTCACTGGGTGCTTGCCGTAGCAAAAAGCAGATTTGACAAAAGACTTAACTCCGTTTCGTTGACAATCAGCCATGCATGAAGACTCTCGTCTACGGCTGATTGTCAATGAAACGGAGTTAAGTCTTTTGTTAATTTCGTTTATTGATACGGCAGGCAGCCAGTGAAAACGAATTCGTTTAATAAAATTATGGAAATGCAAGCACTACTTTAAACAAACAGAACTTTGTCATTCCTCGCTCATTTTTCCTGATTGAGGTGTCATATAAAAGGGCAGAAACTCAACTTTCTAGAAATGTGAATTTTTTCTCGAAATCTAGATACCGCCCGCCAAATGTCTTTCATATGGCTCCGTTTAGTCTCATTTCACAACGCCCCCTATCGTCAGAGCATGGTCAGATTCAGCAGCCTAACATGTTAGCCTATGGACGTTTTTTTTTAAAAATCGTTAAAAAATTCATTTTTTGTTTAAACGAAAAGCACATCCACCCCGACGTACGTTATCACTAGCTCTTTCATTGGAGCCCTCATGTCTAATTGACTTTTGAAAGTTCACCCACCGTAATTTTTCAAAATAGGTTGCAAGCTCGTCATTGCCTATAAAACACATGTGAAACAAGTCTAACTTTGGACTCAGTTTACCAAGCGATTTGAAGATTATAGGTCGAGCACACGAAACATAAAAAGCATGAATTATCATAGATCACTTCTGCCTATTTCGTTTTGTCCATTTCATCCAACCCCCCACCGTAATTTTTCCATTTAGTAAAAGCAAACATTTTGCCGAGTTTAGCAAAAACATGAATATTCATGAACGGTCAGACAATACAGCCTTTTAGTACGTAACGTATAGTGAATGGGAATGTGCGATGATCCGTGTAGGAGGTAGAGGTCAGTGGTTTGTGCTGGCAATGTTCACGCGAGCGAAAATGAGACAATCGGAGCAATATGTTGGTTTCCTTCCTTCAAATTGCTTTTAATCACTCATGCGTGAAATATGCATCATCTGAGTAGCATCACATGAAAGAGGAGACTCTAAGCTTTCCAAATATGTATCATTCATTAATTATAGTTGTGATTAAGTTATGATAGAACATCGATACTTCTCGGTTTCGTTTTTTTCTGGGACGCACTGTATATGTAAATGTTGCTAAAAGAGACTAATTCATTTTTCTAGCTCGCTACACTCGCTCGCAAATAAAATGAATAGACATTGCTTTGGAAACAATTGTGCCCACCCTTGACCTGCAACAATATCATTAAAAATGGAAGAGTTTTTTCGCCCTCTCGCCAAAAAGGAATTGAATCGCGTTAAACGCGATTGCGTCCATCCTGACCTGCCCCAATAAAAACAAGTTTATTTATTAATTTCTATTAAAAGAGAATTTTTTTGTTTTGCTTGCTCGCTATGCTCGCTCGCCAAAATGGAGTTGCCACCGCTAACGTGTCCGCCCCAACCTGCAACAACCAGTTAATAATTATGTACCAAACGTTATTCAAAGAAGTTTTGGTGTGCTCGTGCTCGCCAAAACGGAATTAACATCACCTTAGACATGGTTGTGTAAGCCCTGCCCTGCAAAACAAAACAAAAAAACACAAAAAAATCTGAAATTTATGAACCAATTATCATTACAAAAATTTGCTCGCTCGCCAAAATAGAAATAACCGCTTTTAATAATCACGTCCCTGACATGGAACAATGAACCCAAGTTTAAATACCATATTTTCCCTATAAAAGAGAAGTGATTTTTTTGCTTGCTCGCTACGCTCGCTCGC